TAAAACCAAATACCCAAAAACCAGCATTAAAAGTGACTTTCTAAAGATGAATCCTGTGATTGTGAATGAAAGGACCACTGCCACGTGATGGCAGGATAAGATGTCAGCCTGAACTTGGGGCCTGATCCAGCGCAAAATAACCACAGCGTTCCAGACTGCGCAGACTTCAGAAGATTCTCGAGGCGCTCTCTACAAGAAGGTGACCTATGCTTAAAAAACATCTCCTCCTTATGGCAAGTTAGGTACTAAGGGCTTGGCTAGACTAGGACAGAAGGTATGTTTTAAAATGTTTTAGCTGATGTATTTTAAAGCATAGGGCAGACAGCATTTTAATATTTGTTGGATGGTTGAGGCGAATCCTAGGAGGGGATACTGTTGACTACAGGAATTTTCTAACTGTTAGAGGTAAGCTGCTTCACTGCTCTCTGTCTCTGTTCCCCCTCTCACTCTCTGTTTCACTTAGTTCAGTTAAATTCTTTGCAGGAGGGATTGTTTATTTGTAGAGCCCTCAGCATAAAATAGGTCTGCAGTTCTGGTGCAGCCTTTTGGTGCTACTGTATATAAAATTATAATGCTAGCAAGAACTGTAGGTCAAAGGTAGAATAATCAGAGCATCACAGTGATTCAGGAGCCTACACCCATATTCAAAAGCAATTAAAGGCGCTTAGGAGGCTATATGACATTGACTTTCAACCAGGTCTTGCTTCCTGTCTCCCCAAGTCCATTCTGAGTATGCAACTTGCAAGACTCCATGCGTTAGGCTCTATGTTTTAACCACACATAGTACCTCCCCTTCCCCAAAGAGCCTACAGTTTAAATGACAGCAATATCCTCACCTAAGTGACAGTGAGTTGAAATACAGAGATAAAGTGATTTGACCAAGGCTACACATGAAGTCGGTGTCAGTACTAAAATATGAACCCTGGTGCCCTAAGTCTCAGCCAAGGGTCTTAATCAAATATCCCATGCATTTCCCCTGAGTTGGGGCTGTGTGTCGCATGCACTCCTGTGAGTTACTGATGCTTTAGCTGTAGATCAGCAGGGTTAAAACAAACCAATCCCTGGTAACTACAGCAGAATGATTGGAGTAGAGGGGGATCCTCTTGAGGGAAGCCTCTTTCCCTGGGCACTATGGGATCTTTCAGCTCTGCCTGCCTCCAGCCCACTGCATGCAGGGCCCCTGCTCCCCACCCCTGTGCAAAGCTGTGCAGCAGAGGCACCTGTCCCCATGGCCCTCCGCTCTGCCCCAGGTGTCCATTAGTTCCAGGAAACCGTGCCCAGATGGGCCTTGCTGATATCACTCTGGAGAGCCCTGGGGCTGTGTGGGGTGGGGTGGTGTTGGAGCAGCCTGGTCCCATTCCAACCTAACATGCTGCACAAACTGCCCTGTTGCTAAAGGCAGGAGCAATGCCAAGAGACAAACATGCGGGGGAGCCTGGAACTCAGGCCTGCTCCCAGGGCAGAGGAGAGGCAGGTGTGTGCTGCCTGACCTGCACGTGCTTTAAGGCCGCTTGAAGGATGCTTTGTCCCCAGGGCTAAACCAGAACTGAACTCGCTTTACAAACACTGCAGAAGTACCTCTGTTACCACCAGGCAAACGGGGAAAGGCTGCATGAAAGAATTCAAAGCATTGTTTGACATCCACCCTGAGATATGACTTGTATATACTGCAATCTCTGCACAATCCTTTCAGGATTGTACTATGTATCTGAATCTGAATATTACTTAGCTGGTTAAGGGAATAACCCCAGCCCACCTCAGGTAGATACCTTATTTCCTATTCCTTTTCAAATGCAAGAACAAAATACCTTCTTGATGTCATTCCAGTCTATTGCTTAATAGTATCAGATCATTAACGTGGAAAGTCATGTTTGTTGTTTTTTTAAAGGAAGTGCATAAACTTTAAATGACATCATCACCATTAGGAAGTGCCTTAAATCCTGGTTCTGGCCTGATCCTGATTTTTTGCAGATTCATGATTGTCTTAAATATGCTAGACTAAGTCTTTAGCCTAGAGTGGGCAAAATCTTTTTTGGTCCATAGCAAATTTGAGGTTTCAGTTATCCTGAAACTGTCTATGAATTCAGGTTGATTTTGCTGATGTTTCTTTTCTTTCTTTTTTTTTTTTGGCGGGGGGGAACTTGTGGGGGAGCTACATTAAAAAAAAATCCAAAAACTTGCTGGCTATGATCTCTTTTAACCAATGGTGCTCACATAAAATGCAGGTAACCCAGATCTATAAAAAAATTCCACTACTCTTTGAAAGACAGAATGACTTGTTAGCTTGGTGGTTAGGGCATTCCAATGGGAGATGGGATATCTGGGTTTCTTTCCCTGATCCGGTGAATGTTTAGACATTAGCGGGACAGAAGAAACTGAAAGCACACCACGCCATGACTTGGTGATTAAAGAAAGTTTGTGGAGATTTGGGATTACCTGATTGGCTCCAGCTCCTTCTTTCAGTAACTAGGGTAGCACCTGATCTTTGCTGCACAACACTAGGGCAGGAAGAGACCAGCCTTCTCAGCACAGCAAGAAACCCAGAGGGAAGTCTTGAAACCAGTACCTTGGCCTTGGTAGGCTTGTACTTTTCATTCCATGGAGAACAATACACTGGGCTCTCAGTTTGCAGAGAATGGTGACAGGAAAATTCAAATGGGTCTCCTTCCTACACCTTGGTGGAGTGCTTTAACCCCTGAACTGTTTTGCAAACCTAACCCTTTGTTTCCTTAGCTTTTTGTTATCAGCGCTCAAAAATGAAACATTTTATTCTGTGTCAAAGGGAATGTCGGGTGTGGAATAAAATGCTTTTTCATGTTTTCCTTTCAGGAAGGAGAAAAAACAATTGTGGTTTGATTTAAACTGGATCTGTTTTCAGTTCAGCTGCTGAATGTAAAAAATCAATTATTCACACTGTCCTACTTTAAACAGAGAGAAAATTCAGAGAGAATGCTGGAAATATAATTTAATGCTTGGTTAGAAATTCTTTCAATAGAATTTCAGCACTTAGGTAGGCACCTTTCTGCTTTGTAGACACCAAACATGTTTAAGTCTCTGTTCCCCAGCCTAATAAGCTAAGTGGTTCCAGGCTTGGCCCCAGTTCCTTCCAAAACCGCTGAACTTTGCTGTACAACACACTGGGACAGGAGGAAACTAGCCTTCTCAGCAGAGAGAACCCAAGCAGGGTGCGGGTCGGCCTGGGCCAAATCAGCCTGTGCAGGGCCCCGCCCCCAGACAAGGAAGCCGATGGCGGATTTGGTCGTGAGGGACCAGATGAGAATCCAGCAGCAGCATGGAATCGCAGCATCGCTTCGCCTGGCTCTGCGGCCCCCCCAAAGCAGGGGCCTGGGGCAGTCACCCTGATTCACCTGCTTCTCTGTACAAGAAACCCAGTCAAGGAGGGAAGTCTTGTACCCAGCCACTTGGCTTTGGCAGGCTGGTGCTCATTTCATGGGGGACAAAATGCATTAGGCTATCAACATGCAAGCAGCTCCTGACCCATGTACATCTAACTTTGTTTCTTATATCCAAGTTCTTGGTCCTTATCTCCAATTGTAGTTCTAGCTTCCTGACCCCTTGACTTGGTCTCTCAGATGCAGACCTTTGGCATTTAACCTTGGCCTGGTATAAATGGACCTGCCTCTTAATCCTCACACCTGATTTGGCTTCTCTGATCCAATTGACCTCTAGCACTTGACCCTGACTTGGCTTCTGACCAACCACTAGGGCCCCTTGCTCCAGCAGCTGAGATGAGATGCTTTTGCCAGTCCCTGAAACTGCGCCTCTTTTTGAAATATGAACTTTACTATTCCACAAAGGCTGCTAGACTCCCCTTATCATAATAATATCTATAAGTATTTTCGCGTACTGGATCTCTAATAAGTATAGTAAAAACAACAGAGGCTCACCAGTCTTTTAACTCTCTCATCGTGCATAGTCTTTTAATCATTTCATCATTTAGACCTGCTCTGAACTGGATTAGGTGGTAAAACCAGGTGGGTATCTACACTACCATTATTGCCATTGCTACCACCAACCTCAGTGAACTGGCAGGGTCAGAGGAGGGTGTGGGGCCAGACACAGGGTTTTGTCCCTGCTGGCCCTGCTCCCCCTGCCCCAGTCATTCTTCACAGACAATTTGCTAGTACCAGTATTTAGTCCTTGGTGTCCAGCCAGCCTGAATTTTGTTCTCAAGTTTTCCTTTTATTATCCCAACTATATAGCTGGTCCAATAAGAGATCTCACTTTAAATTCTCACCCCTTGCATAATTCCTGGACCATCATGACATCACTCTGAACACAAAAAAAATCAGTGAGTTCTCAGTCTTTCCACAGTAAAGAGCTCAGAGTTTATGAACCACACCCCTAAAAATCCTGAGACTGACTTGCAAATCGCATGATTTCAAAAAATAACAATCATGCGGCTCGATTTTTTTTTGTGGCTAAAACCGTAAATCTCATGTAATGGCCCCCCGCTGGAGACACCAAGTGCTCGAGTGAAGCATGGAATAAAGTGCCATGTGCGGTAAATAAAGAACAAAACAAGGGGACAAGGCAAGTCTCCCCAGGCAGAAGCCTCTAGCCTGCTGCCCCCCATTGTGACGTCTTTATGACAGCAGCTTAGGGTGACGAAAGAACTGCCAGTCGCAGCCGCTGACGTAATAGTATTAGAGCAGACCCGCACCCCCAGGCTGCTCCTCCAGCCCGGCCGGGGGCGCTCTGCCGGGCCCCGCTCCTGCGGCCAGGCCTGGCATCAGGTTTGGCCAAGACGGGGAGAGCGCACACCCCGCCGCACATGCACGTTATTAGTCTCCTCAAACCAGTCTCTCCCGTTGGCTCCACCAGCCAGGCTACCGTCCGCGCATCCACATTATCAACACTCTAAGCCAGCCAACTCCACTGCGCACGCGCGTTATCACTCCTCAGACGGCCATTCTGCTGGGCATGCGTGTTATAAGCCTCTTTTTAGCCCATTTTCGCGGGAGTGGGTGTCGTGGGTCATGTGACTAGTGCCCTGCTTCCGCGTTGGCTCCTAAACGTCATCAAAGCGCGCTGTTCTGCCTTTCTAGCTGTTCGGTTGGGTGGTCATGGCGCTGCTGGTGCGAGACCCGGCGGCCTCTCGTGTTCGGCCGTTACCACTACCCTCTGGGGGCGGCTCGGTCCGGGATTTACTCCGCCTTAGCTGCAGGGCGCAGGTAGGGTGGGGCCCACGGCGCGGCGCAGCCCCTCCCTTTTCTCCTGGGGGTGGTGATGTTGTTCTGTAGGGAAAGCCCCACTGCGCGGGGTTCTGGGGGGTGTGACGTCATCTCTAACCCCCACTCCCCGTCCGACTTGGCTTCTTCCGTTCCTGGGAGGGGGGTCTAGTTCCCTGCTACAGAATCCGGAAGGGTGGGGCGCGGGGCCTGTGCCAGCCCTGTCTTGCCGGGGTTGCTGGTTTGGTCCCTACACGGGCCACGAGGCCTTTCGTGCCTGGGACTTGACCTCTGGAGGTTCCCTCCAACCCTGCTCTCTAAGGCTTCTGTGTTTTGTGCCCTGTCTTCTTGGTGGTTGTGGCTGCCACTGGGTGCCCTAGAGGGGGCCTTGTGGCATGTCATGAGGGCTGCCCCTTGTGTGTCTCCTCCAGCCAGTAATGTGTGTGTCTTGCCCATAGCAGTGGCCTGGCGCTCCCAACGCTGGGTACCCCCCACGGGGTCTGGCCTCTGCTGCCAGTGAGCGATGGAGCCTTTTGGCAGATTCCATGTTTCCCCCAAACATGCACAAAATGAGCTGTTGCTGCCCTCATGGCTTGGTGTGTGGCCAGGACCGAGTGTGCGGCCAGCCTGTAGATGTTTGCCCCAAACTGCTCACAGTGTAAATATCTGGGGAGATGTGATGCGAGTAGCCTGAACTTGCATAGGAAATTTGAATAGAGTTGTGAGTGGCCTGCTTATGGTTCTTACCCTTTTTAGACTAGAGGTGCTGCCCTCTGACAAAATGCCAGCTCTTACCTTCCATTTTCAGTTTTGCCTCCAGAAAAAGAACAGAGCCGTTTTTTTCTGTTGCAGAGAACTTGGGGAGACCATGACCCTGGATGCCCATTTCAAAGTTCTGGGTTTCACGTTTGCATATCTCCGTGTTGACGTGACATGGCACCCCGCAGCACTGTTGAAAGGATTTCAGGGCACCTCAGGGTGCTGTGCTACCCTGGTGGAGAATCATTGACTTGGGCGAAATCTAGCACTTTACTACCGGAAGGAACATTATCCCTGTATTTAAACAGAAGTCAGCTGTACTCAAAGCTTGCTTTCATAATTAAAATAGCTTTTTATTCTCCTTTCTCAGCCATAGGGAAAACATCAAAGCTTGCATGCTCAGCCTCTGCAGGTGGCAGAAGTGACACTTCTCGTGCCTTGTGGCCAGTTGGCCAGCTGTGCTTCACTTGTTTTCACTTCCCTGCTCCTGTTCTTGGAAACGGGGATCTTGAATGTAGGGGCGGGAAATTATTTTGGGCAGAGGGCCGCTTACTGAGTTTTGGCAAGCCGTTGAGGGCCGCATGAGAGGCAGCCCAGGGCAGATAAATACTAATTTTCTAAATTTTTATAGGGGCCAGTCGGGCCATATGTAGCCCACCCGTGTTGTAAAGCCTCACAATTATTGTGAGAACTGACAAACATGTTAGATGAGTTGTCACACTCTTTGATTTGTCCCATTGCCTAAGCTTAGCTGAGCGGAAGGTACTCATTTTGGATGGTGAAGAATGCTATTGTGTGTCAGTTGGTGAAGTATGGTGTATTTTAACAGTAGACGTGAAATGTAAACTGTGGTAGGAGCACCATTAACCTGCACTATAATTTTCAATGGCAAATCATGCACATTAAATCCTGTTCATCAAATGAGTTACTTGGTAACTTGATTTGAAATGGTTGTAATTTTTTTTGGTAGTGTTAAAGCAATGGCTCTCAAACTGTTTGGATTCAAGGCACCTCCCTATAACTTCTGTGAAAAACTAATTTTTAGACTACAATGCTTTCTTCTTTTCAAAAGGTCCTGGCAGTGGGGATGGGGACATGTCTGAAACTGGGCTTACCTGCCTAGTTTATATGTGTATTTCCAGCACCTTGGTTGAGAATCACAGTGTTAAAATTAACATTATAGCAGTGATGGGACTAGATGCAAGAAACAAGAATTTCTTTGGTTGGACCAGCTGAGTAGTTGAGAGAGAGAAGCTTTCAAATGCCAGGCATTCTTCATACAGTCATTTGTAACTTTTTACAATTTCTTATTCAGTGAATGGTTTCAGATCTTCTATGGATTTTTTTTTAATATCATATAAAAATGGTGGTGGGGGAGGCCATTCCCCTCTTAACTGTACTCTTAAAATGGAATATGCCGAATGATCCTGGTCTATCTTTTATAGAATGAGCTTTATAATTTCTAGGGAATTCCTGAGGACTGTGTCTATGTCAAATGCAATGGACGACTGGTTAACCCTGAAGATGAGCTCCAGGATGGAGCTGTTTATAGTTTGGAACCAAGACTCTGTGGTGGAAAAGGAGGTTAGTTACTGATTCTTTTCTTGTACTAAATAGAGGTGAAGAACGGTCACATTTTTAATCTGTTGGAGTCAAGGCTCAAAGTTTTAAAAAAATCTCAGACGTTATCAGTATACTGAGTGCACAACTGGTATGCTATAGTGGCAAAACGTTCCTATTTGGGGAGCACTCTTGTAGTAGTATAGTGAAACCACTCTCCAGGAGAAAGACAAGATGTAGCAGTAAAAACTCAGTTTTGCTCTTATATTTGCACCTCTTTTGGGGATTCCATGTTTGCATGCTCTTGATCATTGTAGTTGTGCTGGCAGAAGTCCATAAATTCATCTGGCTTAAGTGACTTATGAACATAAATCTGATTTTCAAAAGTGATTTGGGCCCTTTGACGTTATAAAGTATGGGTTGCTTGTTTGTTTGTTTTCCACCCCCAGAAGCACTGAAGCTACAACATGCAGATTCTTAGCTTATTGTTTCATAATAAAACTAGTGAACCTTGTTTGAAAATGTGTCTGAGTTTCCTTATTCTAAGGTTTGTGACCATAAATCTGCTGCAGAATCCTACACAAAATCAAGCATTCATATTTTTTTAAAGCTCCCAACTATGATCACAGAAATGTGAGTTTAATCAATGCAGTATTGTCCTACCAAGTCTTCAGATGGTTTGAAACTGTACCTGTGAAACCCCAGAAAGACTATTTACATGGTCAGTATTTTGCTGCTGATTGCTTTAGAAACATTCAGTTCTGTTGTTCATCCTGCAGTCTCAAATATCCCTTCTAGGTGTCACTTGCCAGAGTCACCTGCTTCAGTCTGTAATTGTGTTGTAGAAGTCTTGCATTGCTGGCTTCTTATGGTGCTGCAGATTTTTTTTTTTATTGACGCGTTTTTTTTAAAAAGCAGTTTAGTTGCATGATTTTCACATTTGCTTCAATAAATTCTTATATTTACATTCTGAGAGAACTGGATTTAATATTTTAATCTGCTATGTCTATAGGCAGAGTTAGGAAATAGCTCCTTACGTGCTTTGGGATATCAAATCCTGGGCAACCTTTAATAAAGCTGCTCCTGCTTCAATGTCTGCTTTGTAAAAGTCTGCTTACCTCTGGCATTAATTTTGTTTTAATAGACGGAGTAAACTTTCTCTAGGTGAGTGTCCAATTATGTAAGCTTTTTATGATGGTCTTGAAAAGCACCTTAAGACTCGGAGTACAGTACAGTTTCTTCTACTTTTTAAATTAAAGAATAACATTTGGCACTTTAAAGCACTCTAATAACGTGAATCCATGCTGCACCTCTTTGAGGTAAATGTAGCTCTGCTAATTCATGGTTGGGTGATTAAAAAACCAAGACACCCAATCTGGTGTTACAAGTTAGTGACACCAGATGTGTACATGTAATCTTAGCATTACTGAGTCTCTGCTGATAATGTCTCTTTCCACCCCCACAAAAAACCCCAAACTACAATGCTTTGTATGATGGCTTCTGTCAGATGACGGATATTTGCTCAGACTTGCAAAATCCAGGGTGCATCTTGGAGGAAAAAATGCATTTTTCTGGACTACTGTTCAGGGAATCTGTCAGGGATTGTGCCAGTGGTTCCACAGGGAGAGATGTACTAGTTAGATGGAAGGGACAAGTCCTGAGGTGCTTTCAGAACAGAGAAAATTGAGGAACACTGCATTGGGGGATTCCGATAATAGTTTGTGGCTTCTGGGTGGAAGCACAGGTGCTGTGATATTCGTTGGCTCTCTCGAAATCATGCCAGGTGAATTCCTGAGCTAATGTGAGAATTTTTTTCACTTAGTTATACCTTAAATGCCTTTACTTGACTTGCTGTTTGGAGGTATAGACAAACATGAACAAACTATGGTTGGGTAAAAGGTGCGAAAGCTTACTGCATGTCAGCTACTCTGTGGTAACTGGCTTTTGTCCCATGGTGAGTGGGGAATGTAAGAGGTAAACTACAGAATAGGAGCAGTCAGTTGCTGTGGAACACTGATGCATGATAAATCCTCGCTCCTTGCTCTGCAGTTAACTGTTGTGCCCATACTCTTGGGTTTTTGGCCCAACAGTATACCTGATCATATCTCTTAAATATGTTCTTGCATGATCAGGGCGCAGCAGGGCAGGCCCTATGAGGAGAGGCTATGGGACCTGAACCTGTTCAGCCTCCATAAGAGAAGGCTGAGGGGGATCTAGTGGCCTGTTACAAACTAGTCAGGGGGGACCAGCAGGCATTGGGGGAGTCCCTGTTCCCCCGAGCACTACCAGGAGTGACTAGAAATAACGGTCACAAGCTGACAGAGGGTAGGTTCAGACTAGACATCAGGAGGCGCTACTTCATGGTCAGGGTGGCTAGGATCTGGAACCAACTTCCAAGAGAAGTGGTGCTGGCTCCTACCCTGGGGGTCTTTAAGACGAGGCTGGATGAACATCTTGCTGGGGTTCTTTGACCCCAGTACTCTTTCCTGCCATGGCAGGGGGTCGGACTCGATGATCTGCTCAGGTCCCTTCCAACTCTACAAACTATGAAACTATAGCTCATCTTTTGGGCTCCAAGAGGCCAATCACCAATTCTGCTATGTCCCATTTCTTGCTAACAGTGAGGCTAAAGAGTCTTTTCCTTAAGGTAGGTGCATATTGTGTTTCACTGTCTCCCCTTATTTTTGGGGGCAGGCAAGAGTGTTTTTAAAACAGTAGTGGTTCTTATTCTCTTGATCTCTATCACAGCTTCATAGCTACTTCTGTTAACTCTTTCCCTCAGGTTTTGGATCAATGCTCCGAGCACTTGGTGCTCAAATTGAAAAGACAACAAATCGAGAAGCTTGCCGAGACCTTAGTGGAAGGAGGCTCCGAGATGTTAATCATGAAAAAGCGTGAGGCACTTATTTCTTTATAATATTGTTATAAAATAGAATGACCATGTATTCTGTTGTTAAGGGAAGAGGAGGTCAAATGATTGGTTCCTGTAGCCATGTTTTGTTCTGAATACCAAAAAGAGCCTTTGAGTCTTTCGAACAGTAAGCACAAAGTGGGAAGATGACAGCAGAAGTCTATTGTGTGCTTGCTTAAGAGTATCTGGCTAGTGTAAAATAGAGGCAGCTGTACTGTGGAAACCTGTTCGTTACCAACGAGTAATAAATCCTCCTTTTTATGTCTTTTTCTTATGGGTAGAAAAACCTTCTACCTAACGGTCCTCTGAGAATCCTTTTAATTCTTTCCGGCCCCCCCGGTAAAGTTGCAGAACTGTTACTCATGCAGCTTTGGAGCCTAGTCATCACAACTTTTTTTAAGGCAGTTTTCTGCCCATCTGTTCATTCATCTGTGAAATTCCTTTGTTTCTTCAGGCTACATCTCTATTAAATCATCTACTTTTTTTTTCTTCTTCACTGCCCAGTCCTTATTTTGATTTTGTTTTTTTTTTCCCCCTATCTTCCTTCCCTGCCCCCCCCCTCCCCCCGAGCTGTGGGTGAAAGGGTTCAGTAACTGGAAGGCTACCTCAGTTTGGTTCTTGTTTCCAAGATCTCTCTCTTTTTCTCTCTCTCTCTCTCTTTCCAGAATGGCTGAGTGGGTGAAGCAGCAAGCAGAGCGGGAAGCTGAAAAAGAACAAAGACGCTTGGAAAGGCTGCAGCGTAAACTTGCAGAACCAAAACACTTCTTTGTTAATTCGGATTACCAGCAGCAGTGTAATGAAATGGCTGAGCGGCTAGAGGATTCGGTACTTAAAGGTATTGCTGAGGAACTGATCTGTTTATCAATAGATATAGAATTATCTTCAGTTGGCACCTAAATTAAAGTATGGCTCTAAGTGACTTTTATGTGACAAATGGTTATTGATATAACTTGGACTAGGCAGTACTGTTTTCATTTGGGTGAGGTGCACTTGGTTTTACTAAAATGTGGTCTAATTTTTCCTTTCTGAAATAGCTTTGTTAGAATATTGTGAGACACTAGAACACAGATGCAAGTAATAAAGCATCCTTATACTTAAGGTAATCTGTAGATACATTCTGCATTTGTGGCAGTGACATTCAGAATTATTTTAAAACAATGATAAGTGCTGATCTAGAAGAATCAACTTTAGCTTAAAGGACTGTATAAACAGAATGTATAGAAAACTGGAGAAACTGAGTATAACATAAAATATCTTGATTCATATACCCATTCTCTTAGGCTATTTTACTTAGCCACTATGTTACTCTGGTGGCAGTCTTGACATACAGACCAGGAACTGACTGGGGCATAGAGAGCCAGCTCAGAAGTGGTCACTGTAATTCAAGGTCAACTCTGTAGAACTGCAGAGCAATAAGAGTTTCTACTCCTGTTGAACTTGTATAAAAGACTTTGGTGTCTTGGGCTCGCATTCCAGCACTTCTACTAACAGTAACTGAAGACAAATTCAGAAAATAACTGGTATCTAGAGCATCCAGTTCTCTAGGAAGCTTTGTTTTAAGTCTTCTTCCCCTGTGGACTTGGGAGTATCATAGTATGTAGGTTATTATGGTTTTACAGGGTAACTCCATTTTTAACTTTGCATTGAAGGGATGCAGGCCTCCTCTAGTAAGATGGTGTCTCCAGAGACCAGCGATAGCCGGAAGCGCCCAAATGAGTCTGAAAAGAGTGGAGCAAAATCTGAGAAAAGGAAATGCTTGTGGTAAGTGTAGTGCCCTGATCCACTTGGTAAAGGAGAAGGAAGTTAAGAGTAAAGGATCAGTTTTTCTTTTGAGATGCAGACTATCAGAAAAACTACCAGGAACTTCTGGCACATAATTGTGACAGTCCCAAAAGGCAGCATGGAACCCAGATCATTTGCATCTGTGTGCAACCCACTCCATTAGCAGAGGGTTGCTGAATTTAAGAATATCTCATTGGTTGGTTATTGCTTTTACCTCAGGGTGCTGCTTCTCCTATCACTTGAAGCTTATTTGCAGTTCTGCACAACTAACTGGCAGGGTGGCATCCTTTTGAAGGAAAAAATGTCTCAACAGTCCCTCACAGGTCTTTGTTGCAGCTCTGTATGCCCTTTTCAAACTCTCTTCTTCACAGGGTGGTAAGGAAAGTAACCTTTTGAAGTATCTAGGTTCTACTGTAATACATAGAACAAGTGAAAGCAGTGGCAGGAGTTTTGCCCCATCCCCACTTCCTGTCTTCCCTCTACCACTCCACATCCAGATGTGGTTTTTGTTTTTTTTTTATCAGTATTCCTCTGTCTAAATACACTGGGTTCCTCCTATTTCCTGTAGTATGTAGCTTGAGGATTGACTTCTCAGTCTCCAGTCTGGTTGTCTTTCTCATAGTGGGTATAGCATATGCACTGTTCCATTCTTTAACCAGATGGGATGTTCAATTCCACTATTTAAGACAGCAAGCTAAAATGGTTACTGGCAGAATAAAGATGTCAGCACAGCAATAGTTTTTGTGGAAGTGATGGATTCCTGTACTGGGGATTCTTTGGGAAGTATGATTGCTTCGGATCGTACATAACAATAGTGACTTCTGGCTTGCTTAGCATGGGAGTCCAGCTGATGTGGGGCTCCAGACTATAGCCCCTCCTTGGTATATTAGTATGGTGAGGCTCCTTAGGGAATCGGGCACTTGAAGTAGGGCACTTTCTTATTTGAAAATACCTTTAACTTGAGCGCTTGTTTATGACAGGATGGGATTGGAAGGACTGGAGGATCCTGAGAGCACAGATGACAGCGAAGATAATTTTCCTAGTACAGCAGAGGGAAGTTGCCACTCAAGCACCAGCCACATTGAAAAGACTGAAAGCACAGTTGAGTGGCCCAGTAGTTCAGAGGATTCACTAGGATGCAGCTCAACCACCAATACCTCTGAAAAACCACAAGAGCAGGCAGAAGATGCTGAAAATGATCTACCAGAGGAGGTACCCACAGAGGGGCAGGTTGCAGTTCCAGCTGATGAAAAAAATGACACAACAGAGACCCTGAAAGAAGGGGAGCAAGAAAAAGTTTCAACTACTCAAGAGGAAATAATTCTATTACAGAGCACGGTGAGCAACACCATGAAAGTCTAGATGCAGATGCTATTGCCTCCTTTCTTGCTTTACCCCATCTGTTTTTTTTTTAGATCACTTCTTTTCCCCATTATCTACTGACTGAATAGACTGACTTCCATTAATGTAAAGTAAGTGTTTTGGGGTCTAAAAATCCCCTTGCCTTAACAGTTGCTCAAGATGCACATTTTCTGCCTATGAGTGCATTCTTTATAGCTCCTTATAGTGGTTCAGACACTTTGTCACTGCATGTCCCATTTTAAAATGCTAGGGTTTACATGTATAAGATCATAATTCATATTCAGAAATTTTCTTTTGTAATTGGAGAGATCAAAGTGCAATTGGAATTCTTACTTCAGTAATTCTGCTCTTGACTAGCTAGTCTTCTTCCTCCTCTTCTTCCCCTAATGGGCTGAGGCGCTCCTGTGTCCTCCTTCTTCATGTGCAGCCAGTTTTTTCCCCTTCCCTATTTTGTGTAGAAAGTTCTCTGTCAGTATGATGCAGATACTCCATGGGATGAGCGAGTTTTACACTCACTATTGTACCAGTAATTGAAGTTGCACTAGGCTTGTTCACCTTGTGTGTACTGTAGCTTGACTTTATTATTCATCCTCAATAAGGCTAATTAAGTTAAAGCCCTAAAGATCAACTTCTATATGGTGCAGACAAAACTATCAGAATTCCCCTCTATTGGTTTCCTTTTTAAATTAAACACTTTAATCCAGGCTGTCCAAAAATTGCACTGATCTGGCTCAAACTGCAGCTCTCGTTTGGGGAATAAGATTCTGCTGCTGCATATCTGACAGTAAGATCTTCTGGGTGAGAAGGGCAATGATATGTGATGTGTCTGAGTTTTTACAAATGCAGGTAGAAAAGCAGATCTAAAGGAAATTACCTCAACGGTGGAGTAACTTCCCTACTGATGTTGGAATGAATTGCCCCACTGGGGTTGAGCAATTCATTGTCATTCATGAGGCTTGCTCAACTGCTGCTGAGAGTATTCTGCTTTAAATTAAATTAGCTCTTGGACAAGTGCATTGCTTTGACTGTAGACTGATCACCTCTTACATGAGAAGCCTGAGTTGGCTCTAAGCAATAAAAACCTGATTTTTCAATATTGAGCACACCAGCACTAAATAAATAAGTGTCAACAATAACGGCACCCACTTGCCCATCGCTTGTGGAGTGTTATTATATGCTCAGTGTTGTTTGGAACATTGAGATCTGTCGGCAAAACAAAATGCCAATCCCTGAGTGACTCAGATTCTGTGCCCCATTTGACTTGAGTAGGGAGTCTGTCGTTGTAATGGTTTTTTTTTGTTTTTGTTTTTTTGGGTTTTTTTTTGTTTTGTTTTTTTTTTGTTTTTTGTTTTTTTTAAAGCATTTCTTTTTCATTGTGTAGAAACTTGTAAGTTTCTATGGTTGGAAACCCTGTTGCTATTTACTGAATGTTGATAATTGGTAAATAGGGGTGCACTGATCTAAAGACTTTCCTGGCTGATATCCATAGCTGATTATTAATGAGGCATATTGGCCGATACCAATCCAATAACCGATTTACAGGAATGCAGCTGAGCAGCATGAAGAGCATGGCCTTGCAGGTAAGTCTGTGAAGGGGAAGGGGTAGGGGGATGTGTGTGTCTGTGGGGGGGGTGGGTCCACAGTAAGGGAAGGAGTGGGGCTGGGGGTGCTGCCCAGCCAGGGTGGTGAATAGGACCTGGGGCCAGGGCAGGGAGTGGTACAGCTGTGGGTGGCTTATCCAGGGGATCGGTGTTCTGACGCTTAAAAAAGGTGGTGGTGGTGTTTGATGTAAAGCTCGTCAAATAAACTTCAGTTCAAGTGCTGCTGCCACCATTTTTAAGCGTGAAGACGCTCTTAACCAGAATGGGTGGGGCAAGGGCATATGCATGCTGCCTGTTGTAGGCTTGGGACTCTCCACTCTGTTGCCTTTAGGAGCAGAGTAGAGTGAGGGCAGAGGTCCCTGCAGGCTTGGGGCTCTTTGCCCTGCTGCATTTGCCCTGGGAGCTCCATGCTGGCTGCATGTTGCCTGCTAGAGGCGCAACTCGCTGCCCCTACTGCCGCCAGGCAGGTAGGGGACGCGTGGCCAATGTGCTGCTTCCATGACAGAGGCAGCAGGATGGAGAGCCCCGAGCCTGCAGTGGGTAGCCTGCGTCTGCCCTGTGTACAGATTTGGTGGGGCACATGCCTCCCCTGGGGGTATGTGGAGCAGCAGGGAGCTGCCTCTGCCCCTGGACAAGACTCCCGTGGCTCCTCGTTCTGGCCCTAGAGTCCCATTCGCTGCCCTGGCTGGGCAGCACTCCCACCCAGCCCCTGCCCCACTCCCTCATCGTGGGGGGCCTTGATCTTGCCCCCACACCCCTTCCCTTCCACAGGCTTGCCTGCAGGATGCTGCTCTGCATACTGCCTGGCTGCATTCCTGGCCCTGGGCATGCATGCACACAGCTGCAGCATTTAGAGACCCTGGCCAGAAGACCTATTGTATTTATTGGTACATTGTTGGCTATACTGGCCAAAAAAGCCAATAGCTGATGATGTTAATTTTCCTTTTATTGGTGCTGATCTGATATGGCACTAATGTATTGGTGCACCTCTATTGGTAAATGAGTGAACAAGCATTTAAAATGGGGAAATATTGCAAAATATAGTTCAGTCAGTTGAAACTTTATGTACACTGTACTATAAGTGGGCAGTATTTTCAACTGGATGCTTATCACCAGGCAGTGTTTACCTTTCAGACAGTACTTGCAACGTTTCCTATTCCTGGGACAGGAAACTCCACCAAAACCACAATTAATTGTTATTGCAGGTGGTAAATGGCTCTTATAACAGTGCTTATGCCTTCAGTTAAAGTAGTGACTGTGTGTAGTAAAGAGACCTTATTAAAGTTCCTCTCTGCTAAAAAAGAGCACTTTTAAATATGTGCGTATCTTGGCGCAGGGTGCTGTACTCAGAAATAACAGCACTGATACAGCAAGCACTTAGTGCTGAATGCAGGGTTCGTGACTGAGCAGTCTCACATCCCTGGGACTATCTCATATCCCTTTTGGTAATTCTAGCATGGTAGATCTGTGTTGCAAGAATGATTTTTTTTTTTCTTGAAATGCTGTTCAATAGGTAACAGACGTGGAAAATGCCTAATTTCTTTGTTTAGGATGAATTTATAATTTGCATCACTTCTGCTTTTTCTTCTTTGTCAAAATGAGAAGCATCTCTGGAAGCTCAGCATCCCCTAAGCATTTTCGTAAAAAGTAAAATATCTGCTATTCCTGTAATTCCAAGATTAACTGCATAGTAATGTGTGGTGTCCATCTGTTTTCCCTGTCACTAATGGGGGAGTGCTTAGCTTTGAAAGTAGCCAAGGTAAATTTAATTTACAGTTAAGATCTGGTAGCTTTGTCACACTGAGTTCATGACTTGTGCAATATAAGAATGAGGCATTGAATCATCAGGTGTTTTCAGTTCTCCTAAATACTTTATGAACACACAGTTCTTAACTTCATGTAGCAGAGACCCCAAAGCTTGGGAGAGGACAGGTGGAACTACCTTATCTGTTACTTTCCAACAAAGAAAGAGGTGGGTTTGGCTCGGTTACTTTCTTATTTCAGGCTCTTTTTGTGAGTCCTTATAGGCACAATGCATTCTACCCTGATCACCAGTTTGGTCTGTAGGCCATTGCCTGTGGGGTTAGAAATCCATCTGATTTCCAACTAAATGATCTTAAATTTATACCTGGAGGTGTGTCTACAGTACAGTCATAGCTTTTATTGCCACTTAGACAGACATCGGAGCTGGCTTTAAGCTATTTATTTACGGTAATGCTAGCATGTAGCTGTGATGGCATGGCACTTAGTACGGGCTGCAAAACCATCAGCATACTTACCAGTCTTCTCAGGCAGGTTTGCAGCCCATGCTGATCTGTGTGCTGCTACAGCTATGCAGCCTAGCTCAGGTATATCTCCAGGTTGTAGTCACAGCTTGACTGCAATGCAGACATAGTGTAACTATGGAAATGCCCAGCATGCTATACCTGGAGACTCGGTATAACTGTGTTATCACACTTTGAAAGTGTTTAGCTGCATGTTCCGTAAAAGTGAAATCTAGTTGGAGACTAAATAAGCATAAGCCAGAAGAGGCGCTAAGTCTTTTTTTTTCAAAACGGTAATGCAAGGATTGTGTATTCTTGTCTTTGCAGAAGTCTACACCAATAAATCTTCTGGCATTCAACTCTGCCACTGAAATGGAAGCGCTAGGATTACATAAGCTGAAGTTTGAACTGATGGCTCTGGGCCTGAAATGCGGAGGCACTTTACAGGAAAGAGCAGCAAGACTTTTCTCTGTGAGAGGTCTGCCTAAAGACCAGATTGACCCTGCCTTATTTGCAAAGCCTTCTAAAGGGAAAAAGAAATAAATGTTGGGGGTTTTACTTACACACACACACACACACACACACA